ATACCACTCAGCACCAATATAATAGCACTCTTTCTACTGATAATCTCCAAAGCATTTCTGTTTCTGCAACTGAGCAGCAGAGAAATACACACGTGCATTCTCACCACATTTACCCAGTACCCATAGCATCATGCCCCAAATAGTCTCCTTGCCAGGGAGACAAAGACGGGCAGAGGAAAACTAATGTGACTACATCCAACCACTAACTGAGTCGGTGACTCTTTCATCAGTAGTTATCATTCGCACACTAGTCACCTCTGCACATCCCAGTCTCCCTCTCTGGGCGCCCGATTACTTGGGCTAGTGATAGAGTCTGGCGATAACGTGATGCAAAACTAAGTAAAACTGGCCAACATTCCCTACCCAATATCTTTTAATTGCTTTGGTTACAGAGTACTGGATACTTATGTCTTCATAGTCTCTCATCCTAATACACATAAAAAGTACATGGGCCAGTGACGTAGTCCAGAGAAGTCTTGAGAGAATTTCTCTTTATTCCCCACCCCCTTCTGTGGGTTTCTTTCATTTATGTGTTTACCTGTTTGCTTTGGGGGGAGAGGGGGGAGTTTTGAGCCCAAATAGTGACTTCATTTAACATCTCCTGGGTCCTTGAGATCTCCTCAGCAAATACTAAATAAACACCCTGGAGCTCTGGTGCTACTGCCTCAGATGGGCAGCAAGCCCTGACTTGCATGAGCAGTCTTGTTTGGACATCTGTACCTGTTTGCTTTCTATTGGTTCAGACTCGCCTTAAATCAGAGCTGGGTCTCTTAAGTCTGAGACCTTGCTTCTGCTGCTATCCACAACATAAGGCATTAGGAAGTGGCCCAATATTCGCCTCACCCTAAAGTCATTCATTGACACCTAGCAGCCCTCTTCCATTGGTGAGAAGTTTCTTTCCAAATTCTCCCAAATCAGTTGACCAAATTTCCAGGGCCTAGCTCTTCTCAGTTAGCAACTTCCTGACTCTCCCGGGCCCTACTTCCTTCTTTCATGGAGGACCTCAAGATACTACCAAGAAAATGCTGATCACCAAGCAGAGATCCATACTTATGCCCCATTCTGGATGTACATATGAAAGCTAAGTTTGGATTCTATTTTTAAGATAAAGGAGAAAGTAGGGAGAAAGTTGGACTATAACTAAAAACATTTTGCTCTGATTTTTGGCAATATCATTTTAAGTTCCTGGAATTGGAATTCTTACTGTTAATCTCCACTGCTGAGAGACATGACATTGGACATGTTCTGAAAGCTCTACGTGCTGGAGAGGTTTCCATTAACTCTTCAATGGGACAGAAATTGTTGTCTACATTTTCCCCTTTGCAACGGCCGTATGATTCTAATTAAGCTAATTTTCCAAACCATCAGTCAGCTTTACGGAATGGAAAGTCCTGTACATCAGTGCATTCCTTTTGCTGTGGATATAACCCATAGGGCATGCTAAGAGCACCTTGTATCCAGCTGGGAATTCTCCCAAAGGCATAGTTTTGTCTTTAACATGCCCTCTGGTATTTTATGCAGCAAGGCAGTACCCACACATGACCTCACCATATTTCATATTTTTTATTCAAGAGCCCAAATAGTGAAATACACTTCAGGCAAAATAAAAGACAGCAGGCTTCTCTTCTTTCCTTGGTCATAGAATAGGAATTTTCTGCTTAATGGCAGAATTTAAATCAATAGGTCATTTAGAACTTGATATTACCAAAAATCAAGGGTACATTCTATAAACAAGGTGAAGACATAGTACCAGAGATCCAAAACATGAATATAAAAAGTCATATAAGTTAAACGACTGTCGCTTTAGCTATACAAAGAACAGTTACTAGTCTGCCTCTAAGGAGGTCAGTTACATTTTAATATCTATATCAAACATTTCTACATTATTGTGTGGGCATTTCATTCATGCCCATTCAAGAAAGTCATTGTTGATTCCACTAAAATTTTCTCTAAGCAATAAAATAAAGTAAGTTTGAATAGTTCCAAGACATACATCTTTCAAACACTAAATGTTTGAGTAAATCCAGATGCTATGATAATATCTAAAATCTCTTGGAAACTATTTCAATAATAGACAAGCTAATTCAGTTTAAAAGGCTAAACTGATAGCTCCATGTAAACACAGCCTGTGGGGGAGGGGATGTTTAAGTCTCAATTGTTCAAAGGAACATACTTTACAAAGTATGTTTGAACAATTGTTCAAATGAACATACTTTACAAAGACAAGATAGGTGGGGTGGGTATTGACGATCTAATAATTTCTCTGAGCATACCAGCTAAGCATTGATTCTCTTCTACTTCAAATAATGAGTTCTTGTTATATTCATAAAAGATACATCATAGGAAATCATAAAAAATCATGTTGAGATAAATAGGTTACATAATTACAGGCTTATCATAACTCTGGTAACACCAAGCCATTCTACATACTGTAGGATTCCTGAGCTTTGTCAATTCACTTTCTTCATTGGCCCCTAACTGCCTTTCTTCCAGAAAGTCTTCTATGTTCTATTGAACATATCTTTTTCCCTGATATTCAGCCTATGCCTTTGTATATTTACTTCCACTGCTTCATTTTTCCATTGGAATATCCTCGTGGAGAGGAATTGCAAACACACGACCTTCTCTTTTCCTTAAACATATATCACAACTGGGTGCTTTTTCCATCATCCTTTTTCCCAGACAACTAGCACTGCCTTAGCCAAATCTCATCCCCCCACCAGCTTCTCTCACATCCTGTTCCATTATTGTACATGTAGAACAAAGGGGAAGTTTAAGGACAACAGGGCGAGTGTGCTGCAAACAAGTTTTCATTTTACTTTTCTAGGGTACCACATAATGACACCTTTTTAAAGATAAAATTCAATGGGGCCCACTGAGTAGTCTGGAGTATAGGGTTTAATGACTGCGAACTCTGAAATAATCTGTTTTCCGTGGGAGTTTCCAGAAATTTGTTAGATGATGCCACATTTTCAAAATTTGCTTTGTTTCTTTGCAGGTGTATTTTAAAGAATTTGAGACACTGGAAAGCTTAAATGTTGCTGTAAAAAAAAATCAGTTAAAATAGTACATTAATATCTAAACAGTAAACTAGTGATATGACTGATACATTGTTCCAGTTCTGTTTTGTTTTTTTAATATATTTTTTGTTCTTACACACTCAGTTTCCACCTTTTTCTTATTTCAGGCAACTAGTTCCGGAAGATATTTTCAACTTGAGATTTTTTTTTCTATGACTTTTATTTTATGATTCAATCATTAATGGAATGGTCATAAGAACCTTTGATTGTACATATCAATACAACCATGTACTGTGATTTGACAGCATCCTCAAATTTACAATAAAAAATTTATAACACAAAATTAATTGGTCTATTCTTTGGGGATTATGATATTTAGATATTATATTCTAGGTAAAACTATAGTATCTTTAAAGAGAAATGTGTGTGTGTGTGTGTGTGTGTGTGTGTGTGTGTGTGTGTATAGCATTATAATGATGATAGAGGCCTTAGATTACTAGACCTCAGCTAATTGGAACAAAGGAAGACCCAGTCCAAATTTAAATGTAAATGGGAATTCCATTTCACCAAATTCCATGCCACTGAGGGTTGCCTTATATCAAAGCCTCCAAAATTATTAATGAGAATTGTCTCAAACTAACTTTCTATTCCTCTATTTTGTAACTGAAGAAATCTTGCTTATTTGCACCTATTATTCATTATAGTTCACCTACTTTGGGAGGAGAACAGTGCTATAGCTGAATGGCCAGGGCACCTACCTCCCACAGCAGCTGAGAATATATTTATATATATTATAAAGACTATATTATGAAGAATGTACTCTCCAGCTCAGCCACCGTTATGGAGACTAAGACCAAGAATGAGTGGGGCCACATCATAATTGTAGGAATGGAGAGGGACAGACCAGCACCACTGGACCTACTGGTTTTACATTTAATCAGTATCATGGGGTATAAGTCACCCACTGAAAATATACATACCACAGACCTGTTTCAAAAAGTAATTATTTCTGCCAAAGAATCCTCATAATTACAAATAATAAAGTGTGGGGTTTTTTTCCCCCTTTCTATCCCCCTTTCTCCCTCAGTTGAGGGGTTTATGATAAATACATTAATTTCATATGTATATTCTCAATGCTAATTTCAGTTGAGCTGTTTCTTTTTCTGGCCCATATATGTTTTATGTTTCCATGTTTCTGTGACTAACAAGTTAGTCCCACTCTCTATTGCTTCAAGGGGAAACTCTGTGAAGCCTCCTCATCTTTCTGCCTCCTGTCCCTAGCTTGTCAATTTGATTTTCTTCTAGGACTTTCCCCACCTGCCTAGAAAGGAACCCTAAGATTTCAGATAATCATCCTCATCCTCCAGGTAGGGATCATTCTTGATATCTGCAAATATACCTGTGAGTTCTGGGATGTTTAGACTGGCATAGAGCACCACAAGGCTAGAAACTAGAACAGCAGAAACTACTCGAACACTGTTAAACACAAAAGTCTTAACCACAAGGACTGGGCTCAAGGACTCGTTATAAGTAAATATTGGGGAACTTTCCAGATGGGCTCTATCCATGCTGAATAAAGTGTAGGCAATACCCCTTATACTAATAAGGACAATAGTTCCCTAACATAGTAGTTATTCAGGTAAGTCTTTTCTTCAAGTCCCAAAGCATGCAGCAGCTGCATTACTTCTTTCCCAAGGCAGAATGAACACATGTTGAAACAGGGTTTCTTCCTCTCCATCTTGGGATCTTTTCACTCAGGGCTTTTCACTAGGAAGAGATGTGCTGGGGTACTATTTAGCCAAATGTCATTTGAGTGGTAAAAGGAATATGGAGATGTTAGAGGTTTATGTTCTTCTGACATGTAAATTCCTGTCTTTCAGCAAGACAATGGGACTCAGTTGAAATAGTGGATTCAGTTCTTAGTTTCCTTTCCTTTACATAATTTAAAAAAAAAAAAAAAACTCTTTTACAATCATACCTTTAACCAGCTAATCTAGATTTCATCTTTTGCTGAAATTCTTCTCCAGCCAACGCCGGACTTCTTGAAGGTTGTAGCAGAAGGGGCCCTTTCCTCCCAGATAAGCAATTTTCTGTCTCTGCACAATACACACACGTTCAAAGGCTACCCCATAAGCTACATTGGCATTATTGTCCATGCGGTCAGCCACAACTCGGCACTGGGGCGGCAAGGAGAAACGCTCCAGAAGCTGGTGGGCTGCTGCACATCGGTCTTCCTGGTTCCTGTGCTTCTTCACTTCAAAAGACAAAGAAGAATCACCAGGCACTGCCCAACCATCTGAAGGATGAGCCTCATCAATGTAGACCAACAGGAAGTCAGCCACTGATGAGAACTCTTCCACCAGTTTGCTGAAGGCTGGCAGCTGGCTAGTAAAAGGAGGTCAAGTGGCTGAGCCAAAGTTGACCACCAGTGGGCGCTCAGGGCTGGCAAAGTCAAGAAGGTGGCACTCGGCTCCATCAACCATCTTCACCTGGGTACCATTTCTACTGTTGTCACCTCCTTCAGAATTGGAGACATGTACCACACTGGAATTGGGGGCATCTTCACCCAATTTCACCTGGTGGTGAAAAAAAAGGGGGGGAGAGAATACCATATGAAATGCGTTGTTACTCCATTTCACTCTATACAGAAACAACTGGCTCTAATCAAATGTGGTATTCCTTCATAGGATGTAATAAACCTATATTGATTTAAGTAAAGAGGCATCATGGCAGGTAATGTAAAAAAAGGCCCTAACAAGAGTAGAAGTCTTTTTCATTCTGTAGAGTCACTGAGGCTAATTGTTTTCAGCATCGAAGGCATCTCAGTTAACTCTTTTCATCATTACGTTGAGGCTGGTATTCTTTACTACCCTTACTTTGCTGTCAATGGTTAGCACACATTGTATAACAAATAATTAATTGGCTTCATTTTAAAAGTTAAAAGTGAATGGTCTAGTTTAAGAGAAATTATCAGAGTTGTGGGAGTTAGGTACCTCCTTCTGAATTCCCACTAATGAATTCCAAAATACTTGGGAAAGACCTTTATATTCTTGCATGATGCTAATTCATTTAATCTCAACCAATGGACAATGATCCCAATGAAGTGTATTTCTGTCCAGAACTAGAAAACCTGGGCTCTGCCATTTACTGGAAGGGCTACTTCCACTTCACCTCTTCAGTGCCTCAGGTTTTCCATCTGTAAAATGGTGATAATAGTGCCTTCCTTGGACAGTTATAGGGTGATAACATAAGAAAAGGAGCTCTTGTACACTACAAATCATTGTGTGGGTATAGGTTCCAACATTAAATGTCACCCAAACATGTGAAACAGCATATCATCTTTCTGGGAAATTCTATGTTTAAAAAAAAAGATTATCCTTAGAAGTGATTTGAGCTCTTCTGTATATGATGTCCTTCCTGGAGGTTTCTCAAGCTGCTACTTACTTTCAGGTTCCTACAACTGGAACCTCACCATTTCCATAAAACAAATGAAATAACAAAAACATACAATTATTCCAGAATTCTTTTAATTCCTCATTTTTCACGTGTTTTTGGTTTGGTTTGTTTTCTTGTTTTTATCTAGGAAATCACAAACCATTTACTAGTCTATCATACATTCTATTAAGGAGCTCCTCTGAACTAAAAAATATTCAGGCAGGTATAGAAGAAGGTATGCAAGAAAATTGTTCCACATTCCCCTTTGCAAGTGGTTTAAATAGCTGAACACAGACTGAAGGAAAGTTTGCTGGCCTTTGGATCTGTAAATTGATAATAAAAAGCTGGCAACATAAAAGAACCAATTACCTCAGTTTGAATTAACACAATCGGATCTTCCCCTAGAATGGTTTAATCAAAGCCAATAACATTAGGGACAACTTAGGGCAGCCCAGTTGATTTTTATACACTATACTTAATATTACAAAACACTTCCAACTGGATCGACTTATTCCCTTCATATAAATACAGCCACACATAACACTGCTAGTAATTGAAGTCACTTAGAAGTAAATTGTTAAAAACTCAACAATCCAAACTGATGTAAAATACTCAAGGGCTTTTATTCAGAAGCTTCTATCTAATGTGAATGCATAACTCATTTTAACTGTAGAGAAAGAAGTAAAGAAGTTTTTTCTCCCTTCTGAAAAATCCTAGCAATGCAGATTTGAAATGATACAATTAGTTTTCCTAAAAAATCTTAGAATAACAACCTTGTTTCTTAGAAAAGGAAGCTGTTGGTATGATTTAAATAAGTACGTTTGTTTTCAGTTACTATCAGGGAGTAAGTTACTTTATTTATGTTAATTTTCTTGGTTAATTTGCAAGTTACACTAGATGGAGAAATCTAATAAGCCACTTTCAGCTGGGTTATTTTATATGAGGTAAAATAATACCTCATTCATCTCTGAGGTATTAAAATATACTTACAATTTAAAGATACACATTTTAAAGGTATTATAAACTTTTTAATCTATGGGTACTTCTTGTACTTCTTTGTAGATCTAGGTGGTGGGTAGCATTACCATTACCTTCTTGTTAGATTTTTCCCACTTAAAATACAGGTAATAATTCTAGGAGGGCTGCTTTCAATGACATTGTGCTATGTTCCTCAATACACTGTGATATAAAGATCTGAATGTATTCAGACCAGTCTAAATCCATGAACTGTCATAGTGACTTCTTGTTAAGTGAGCAACCCATACACAGGAGAAAAATCATCTCTGGATTGTAGACTTATAGGTTCTTGGTAGGTGAAAACAACCATCTGCTTGTTGGAGTCATTTTAAAGACCTCTGATGCCCCTGACTCTCACCCAGGCAGAGCTGCTGATCCTTGCATTATTCTTGATTATTCAACTGAACAATCTAATCTGATGCTTCAGTCACAGGTGACTCTCTTATTACCTGTAGTTAATTTTCTTGGAAAATTAAAGCACCTTCTCCTTCTTAGTGACACATAGCTCAGCCACATAATTCTTTTCAAAATACAGACTAGTCCACGTCAGAAAATTTCAAACAAGTATAATACATTTACTCTAAAATTAAAAATTAGAAAAGTTACCAAATACATAATGCTTGTGTGTGTGTGTGTGTAGTGCCGGCAGCAGGGTTGGCATTTTGTTAAGCTGGGAATTTTGTTGAATGAATTACTGAGTGAATAATAGCGGTTATAATCCTAGGAGTAGGGGTCAATGAAGAATTTTACACTTAATAATAATCTTGACCTGCAAAGAACATAACTGTGTTTGGGTGATGGATATGCTACTGAGTCAGATAATTTGGAAATGTGAATCCTGGAGCCCTATTGTAGAGTTCTGTCATAATGAACACCAAATACTATCGATCTGTTCTTGATTATCTCGGCTGGTCTGTGTATGAAATGATTGTAGCCAATCCTCTTTATTTTGCTGAGCAGCCATGGGACCCTACTGCAGATTGGAAGGTCATAAGGGGACATCCTGTTCATGAGGGTGACTAGGTTAGAGAAAATGTCTAGGTAAGACCAATGATATTAATAAACCTATGAGAAGAAAAAAAAACCACCCATTATCTGTGAGTCCCAACGTGAGTAGACCAGTAGTCTGCTTTTGTAAACCTCATCAACTAATTTTAAATTTTGTCCATTTTGCTAAAATCTGCTGATGACAATTTAGCAATGATAAAGAAAAAAAAACTTCAGAAATTTAAAAAATGAAAGTTCCCTTTAACCTAAAAAAATAAATCTTTTAAAAGGACATTATTGTCCTTTCTCAATTGCCATTTGAGACCAATGTCATTTCTCATTTGATCTCTGTGACAATTAAATTCCTATTATGACCAGAATTTCAAATGAAGAGTTTCTTGGTTTGCTCAGTTATACGCCCTGCTGAGACAGAATGGGAGAATCACCATTGTCTTCAATGATGGAAGATTCTTTGCTTTCCCCAGGAGCAAAGCATTCCTTGACAAAGAGCCAGGATGATGAAGAAAATAAAGTTCGTCCCATAATAACATTTAGGCTGCAGGAAAGAAGCTCAACAAAAACAAGTTATCCCCTGGTACTCCCAAACTTTGTTTTAATTTCCCACAGTGGCACAGAAAGTCTCCTGGCCACAAGTTACCTATCATCTTAATTTCTCCTTCTTAGAGGGTTTGTGTTTGGTTTTTGTCCTTAATGAGACATATTTGCCAAAGAGGCATTCAAAAGGCATTTTTTACTCTTGCGGAAGAGTAATTAGGTCGGTACCTCTTTCCCTGCCAGCATTAGCTGCTCTAAAGAGAACCCTGCCCAGTATTTAATGCCCAAACACAAGAAGCATCATTTCCACTAATTGGTCTTGAAGTTCCGATGTTCCCAAAGGGTCCCTTTATTTTGCAAGGATCAGAAAGGACATACGTAAAATGTAATATCGTCATCACTGACTTTATCGCTCTCATCTGCGCTCTTACAGTTGTCCTTTCTTATGTTTGTGTAATCAACATCAACACAACACCAACAAGGGAGGTAAATAAAGGGTTGCATTTTTACAATACAGGGCATCTCTGGGCAGAGCACAAACGTTGTGATAGCCATATTTATAAATATGAACAAGAGTGTAAATATACGGCATATAAATTGACTCCCTTGATGATGGTATTCCTTTTACTGACAGTGTTCAGTGCATGGGGAAAAGGATAATACTTCTTTAGCATGTGGACTGTGAAATGCAGGGCAAGGGAAAAAAAGAACCATTCATCAAGCAGAAGCTGGAAATAGAGCATATACTACTAACCTTGTTTTTTTTTTCCCCCTTTTCCACAGCCCAAGAAAGGCTTCTGGACAAAATATCACCTCATCTCATGGTAGGAAGTAAGACAAATGATAAAAATGGTGGTGGGTATGTGGTAGAACAATATTTACACATCCTTCTTGCTACCCAAAGCCCTGGAATGGCTTTATTAACCATCAAGAATTTTCAAATTCTTTGACATAATGACCAGACTACATCAGCGGGCCTTACAAACATGGTCAAACAATTATTAAGCAGCAATTTACCCATTTACATTCAAATTGGCCAAATAAACCAGAGTTGAAGAATGAGTTACCTACTCTTTCCTTTTGGTCATTCTCTTTTTGATTTGTACCTTGAAAACCTTGATTTGTACCTGAGCTCTAGCACTTCCTAGTGGTTTATCCAAGTGATGGACAAGTTCTGGCTGTGGCCTCCTTTGTGTTCTTTTGGGATAATTTCTCTCTTAAAAGGGCTATTTTCCATTGTAGAAACTAGTGTCAAAAGGTTTGAGGTGAATGAAGAGGAGAAGGATGTTAGAAACCCTTTCAAAACCAAAATTATATGTTCAAATGAATATGTTTTCTGTGCTACTGCAGTATTTACCACGCAGAAGCTAAACTGCTTGTCAGCATCTATACTGTGTATTTACTTTTACACTTCATTTAGGTAGGAGCCAGGCTCCCAGACAGGGTAGTTTGCTTATTGGTTGCATTTTTGAGTCTTGGAACACCAGCACAAGGATGCAGTGTTAGACGCAATGACACAGATTAGGAAAACTTAAAGAACACACATCTGGTGTTCACCTCTGTCACAAGTTTCCATAGACATTCTTTTTCATCAATACCTTGCACGGAACTCCCTCTAACCAAGCGCAAGTTATCTTTAAAACTTTCCCTCTGACGTTAATTTTAACTCCCAGTCAATATTTTAACGAAGAAGGGTTGTTTTATTTTGTTCTGTTGATTTCCTTGTGGCCTCCTGTTGGAGCCAAATACAGGGATAGCACTTTTCCAGCAATATCTTCCCAAATATCTGACCTTCAACAAAGGGAATTAGAAAGGACGTGCCTAATGTATTACAGGTGCGCAAACCCCTTAGCCGGGAAAACCCTGCTTCTGCAGGTGGCAGCCTCAAAGTAACGCAAGTCAGGATTGTGAAATACAGTGGTGCTGTCTCACACAGAACCTCCTCCAGTGTGGCCCCAGATTGGCTACACCCAAAGACAGTGTCGCAGATGACAACAGCAGTCAGGGAAGTGATTCAACCTGTTTCAGAGATTCACCGTGACCCTTAAATGCCACCATAGCCACCACCACATTGCCATACTTGGGAGACAGAAGGAGACCTAAAATCAAGGCAAGCTGTGTTCACAAAGTTTCTATTCATTAGACACCCAGTCCAGTCTTGTCTCTGGATATATGGGTCCTTGAGTTGCTTCTTCTCATGGTATCTATTATATAAATCATAAAAAGCAAACATAATAACATCAGTTGTGAACTTGGTCACTAATCAAATCAACAGAAACAATATAGGAGAAGAATCATAAACCGTATGCAAAAAAAAGAAAAAAGAAAAAAATCACTTGTCCTTGTCAATTTCTTGGACTACAAAACACAAAATATTGCAACACACTATATATTAGTGAAAAAAATAAATAATAAAGTTTATTGAACAGGCATTTTTTTTTCCCTTTTTATTCCAATAAGCTGCTTAAGAGGAGAAACACTCCTCTTGTGGGTAACAGCAGAGCCCCCATATTTTATGTGAGATATTTATACAAGGATATATGCATATAAATAAAATTCTCCCAACTGGTAACTTTCCTTTTATAGGCAAAAAGTAAATCATCTTTCAAAGAAGTAAGAGTTTAATATGCTGAGTTCAAGCCACTGGCATTGGCATGTTATCTTCCTAATACCTACAAAATCCAGATGTGGATGAGGAAACTTGCTAATAATGTGCCTGACATACATGAGTGTGCATTCTCCACCCTCTTCCGAAGTCTTTACTCCCAAATCAGAACATAAAATTTTCACACTCAATGATACATTTGTGGGAATGAAATGGTCATCTCGATATCTCTCTCCCTCAACTCCCCTTTGCCCAACATACATAACATAAAGGAGATTATATGCTTAGAACCTTAAGCATTGTTTCCTATTATTATAAAGGAACTTTTACTAACAAGAGCTCTTACTATTCTCTGGCCTTAAGGACAACATATGCAGATGTTCTGCAGGTAACTTTTGATAACAAAGACATGCAATATAGTGAAATGCCCCTAATTCATGATGAATATTTCCTTCTTGAACACTTGTTTAATTTTCAGTGGAACAAGCTTACTCTGGATTCTTTGTGACTAGAAGTTACTTCTGTTCCTCTCCTGGTGCACAGATTTATTTTTCTAGAGTTTATTGATGGGGGATTCATTCCTTCCCCCTTCTCTGATTCTGAGTTTTAATCCTGTTTCTGAGGTGCCACTTGTCTATAATGTACCACTTCACTGGCTTCCATATGCCTCTCAAACTCCCTTCCCTGGCATCTCAGACAAGGTCCCCCAATACAGTTAGGGAAAACCAAGATTGTCTACTTGGACCACAACTTTTGCCAAATGAGTCCATTCTTCTTAATTAAGCCCAGAGATCTTTAGGACTCATGTGGGCGTGGGCAGAGGGGACAACCGACAAAGGACAAAGGACCAGTTCCCCTTTGCCCCTTGAGATTTGAGTTGGGGGTGTCCTACCAAAAGGCCGGGATGTCAGTAAGTCTTAGAAACAAAGATCATCAAGTCTGGTCTTGAGAAGCAGCCCTGGGACATGAGTTCTGCAGCTAAGTAAGGTCACTGCTCCAGTGCTCAAGACACGTGTTATAACAGGTTTGAGACTATAACGAACCATAGACTTATCTGCTCTTTCTAGGACAACTTGTTTCACTTTTGAGAAAGCAAATGTGATTTCCCCTACAAAGTCTGATTTCTGACAGCTAGTTCTCAGCTCTTTCTTTTTTGCAAATTGGTATCCAGTAACCCGGGACTCGGTGCCTGATAACCACTTCAAAAGGGTTCAAATCAAAGAAGTCATGGGGATGAAAAGTGTAGCATAGGGAATATAGTCAATAATTTTGTAATAACTTTGTATGGTGACAGATGATAACCACACATATCATGGTGAACATTTCTTAATGTATATAATTGTCGAAACCCCACGTTGTACACCTGTTCATTGTATGTCAACTATCCTTCAATTACAAAAATGTCCATGTAGAGGAGGATGCTGCACGCAGGGCTGCCTTCATTAACTCTTACCTCTACCAGAAACGAGGGGGGCTATTATGCCAAATCACACCGGCTGTGACCATTTTGTTACATCTTGCCAACTCTGAGGGTTCTGAGTAGCATTTTCTTTTTTTTCCCTTGCTTTTCAGTACCCACCATTGAACCGTCTTTCCTAATGCACCTCCACCTCTCATTAAGCAAACCCTCAAAATCCCAGTTTGTGACAAGAGCAGGTTAAACGCAGCAGTCTCCCCTCCCCCGACATTTTCCGACTTTTCCCCAAGTTATTTAACCGGCACAAACACCCTCTACTCCAAAATTGCAGCAAGACACAAATGACCCTAATTAGAAAGCCTCCTTACTAAGTCACGCCGCGTCATTATGGCTTAATACCTGTCAGCCCCAAATCTAACCTGTGTGACAGGTGTGGAAGGTGCAGGAAGGAGCTCCCTTGAGCATAACCACCAGACCCCCAAAGAGAGCTCCATGATCCCAGCCCAGTGCTCCCCACGGCTTGCTGTCCCTGACTTGCCAACCCCTACCCCTGCTGACCACGGGAGAAGCCCCTGTCCGGAGCAGCTCACCTGCTTGTAGGCATCGAGGAGGAAGCTTTTCCAGATGCAGCGCATTCCCTCTGAGGTCAGCATGCGCCTCCACTCCCCGCGAGTGGACTTGGAGCGGCTCAGCAGCAGCACCACGTGCTTGAGGAGAATGACCGAGTCATAGAGTGCCAGGAAGAGGCAGTTGGAGAAAAAAACTGGCAGAATTTGCAGTGTGATCAGCAAGTCTACGCTGAGGATGCCCATCTTCTCTGCCTCCCAGTCAGTTCCCTTGTGCGCTCTGGTTCCCTTTCACCCTCTTATTTAAAAGGGGGGTGGTGATAGAGGGGGTGGGGGAGATAAAGGGGAAGGCCAGGGGTGGGGGGAGAAGGAGAAAAACTAAATTAAAAGGAAGCCCAAGTTGTCTCCTCTTTCAAAGAAGCAGAAATGGTAAGACCAAGTCCAGTCTCTCCAGCCCAGCAGTTGGAGTGTGCCCATCAATTCATTCAAATCGGAGCTGCTGCTTTTTTTTTTTTTTTTTTTCAGGATTTAAGATGTTAAAAAAAAAAAAAAAACAACACACACACACAAACTGGCGTACCCGTTCCTAATCCAGTTACCCCTCTCAGAGTCGGTTAAAAACAGGCAGTTCTACTTTCATTTCCAAGCACCTATGAGACTGTGGCAGAGATTGCAAAATTTTCTTTAGCTTTTCATTGTCTCTATGTTCAGAAACGTAGCCTGTTTCTTTCTTGAATTGCCAGAGTTTTAAAAAATGTGCTTTAAGGGTAGTTTTTCCCCTTCTTTACTCCGTTTTACACACACTTTCTGTTCTCCTTCTCCCAAGCTGTCTCTCTCTCTCCCTTCCCCAGGAGCGACTGACTCCTCTTTTCCTCACTCCCTCTGGCTTTTCCTTCGTGCTATCTGTCTGTGGTGCAAAGTGCCTCTCTCTCTGCAGCCCAGTGAGTCTCCCTGAAGCCTTTTATACATTCCCTGGCTAATTGCTGCAATAGAGAAATGAAAGCCTAATCTTGGTAAAGATCTTGACGTCACTGAGAAAGAGGGCTTTACTTTGGCCAGAACTGCAGTGAATAGAAAAGCAAAACTCGACAACTTTTTTTTTTTTTTTTTGGAAGGAGGGGGGGGTAGAGGGACAGTGGAATTTTGCTTTGTGATTTAAGGAGAGGGAGAGAGAAAAAAATTAATACTTTTGACGGTTTTCAGGAAATGCTTCTAGACTTTGGGAAAAGTAATTTAATGTAACATGTAAATTGATAGGGAAACTCTCTCCTCTGATGATGATTATTGTTATTGTTCATTTATGAGGGGTTTTTGGAAAGAAAGCATTCTGGAAGGCAGGTAGAAAAGAGAAAGAGTACTCAGGGATGGTCTCTGTTCTATTTTTTAGAAGATGTGGATGCTTACATCTGGTCTTTATACCTTTATACTATGACAGTTTCTCGTCAGATTTGTGACCTAGGTTCTTTAAATATTTTTGAGTCATGATCTTATTTAAGAAAATTCAAAGTGAGTTGTGAGGTGGAAAACTTTTAAACTCTTTGAGTACCATCAGAGCATTTCTCTAAAGCTTTTTGCAGAAAATTAATACAAGTTTTCTTTTCAGTGTTACTGAAATTTCCAATGCAAAAAAGAAAAGAAAAAGAAAAAGAAAATCTTCCAGACAACCATGAAAGTAGCTAGGTGACCAGACCTTCTTTTAGTTCCATTTTGCCTACATGCAGATTAAATTAAAACTTTCTATCAAGTGGCATTAAGATGCCATAATACTGAGAAATAAATTTCTTTATAAGTGAGCTCTTTAAATTCTGTACTTCCCCTGCTTCTGTTAACATAACCCTTAAGAGACCTGAAGCTTTAGGGAATCTTCCTTTTTCCTTGAAAAAAAAATTTAATTAAATTTGTAGGGGTTTAGGAGCAGACTTTGAATTGGTTCAAGAGCCACACTGAACATTGCTCAATGGCTCGCCTCTGCCATTAGTTTCCAGGACCGATGTCTAGGCAGACAGTGCTTTGGCAGAATGCCATGACCCCCACCTCATTCTAGTTTTCCTTCCTCACTTACCTAACTGATCACCTCTAGGAATTATGTTTTCTTGGAAGAAGGAGTAGTAAGTACAGACACTGGAGTGGGGTTACAGAATTTAAATTGAAAATTAATTAGCCAACTTTGCTATGTACACAGTGCTCTCATTAAGCGTGAGCTAAGCAGGAGATGCAAACCTGTGGTCAGTACATTTCTGTGTTTTGTCCCTGTGGCTAAACCTGCAAGGTTACAGAAATAATTTAAAAGCCTAGAGTAGGGGTCATTAATTGGTGGGCCAATGGGCCAAATTCTGCATATATATATATATATGCATTTTATTTGGTTGGCCCATTGCTTTTTGCCTTTAAAAAATAATAATACAGTCAGAATGCTTTTAGTTTTCATGAGACCAGGGATTCCTATCTGCTTTCTCTATTGCTATCTTCCACCAGTTAGAGCCATGCCTGGCATGGAGTAAATTCAAGGAGGATGTACTGAATGGACCAATGGGCAGGGCATGCATTGCTCCACACTAGGGGGCACCATTCACATACAATATGATATGACTACGGTGCCCCAGAATTGTACACCTGGCTGGTCTTGGATGTGGCCCTTCCCATTGACACAACCCTGGCCATTCCCTATTATCTTAAAAACCTGATTCTTTCATCTTTCTCATCAGTTTAGCCCATTATGAACCTTGGATTTATATTCCATGGACTAAATTTTGAGAGATTTCAGAGCTTAGAGAAATGAATATAAACCATAAAGAAAAATATTTTTCCTGTGACTAGTATACATTGTTGGCTAAAGAATATTATTCATATACATGATCTCCATTTACTCTATTCATTCTCTCAATCTTCTCAATGTCCCTATTGAAGAAAAAAAGACAAAAAGAGAGGGAAGTGACAACATGGCATTTTAACTAGTGTAGAAGGAAAAGCTAAAGTGCCAGATGAAGTCCCGCTCCGCAACGACAGAAGGTCTGGAGTCAGGAAATGATGTTTCCACTCATTGTTCAAGCCTTAAAATCTCGCCCCTTCTCAGACATTCATTTTGACCTGTTTGAATGAAAGCAGTGCTCATTTAAGGCAGAGACTTTAGCAGCTATAAACCAATTCTTCCTCACTTGTCTTTTGCTTTCAAGGAGAAAGATATGGTTAGAAATGGCAAGCTAAGGAGAGGGATTGGTAGAAAATCAGAAAAATGTTTTCTTTTGAAGTGCAAAGTTCAAGGCACATCCAAACTACAAATGGTTATAAATCAGAATGGCTTTTTTTTTTTTTGGTCTTTTTATTTTCCTTTCTCTTTCTTTCTTTCCTTCTTTCCTTCTTTCTTTCTTTCTCTTCTTTCTTTGGAAGTCAGATGTGTTTGAGGTTTTTTTTTTAAATAGAAGAATAGACACATAGCCAACCTCTTCATATCATTTCTCAGATTTCTTCCATCACTTTTTTAAATGAATAAATGAATCACAAAACTGAGAGCCATTCTTTTACCTGTTAGACAATCTTTCCATTCTAGAAGTTACATTTCTCCAAAGCTATTTTTTTACACACAGTTTGCTTGCTCTAATTATTAACAGTATTCAGCATTTTGGTTTTCAAGTAATTTTATACCCATGAAGTAAAAAAAAAAATAACACATACGGTGACAGAGAATGATTTGTCCATCATATAGATGAGAGAAAGTGGATCACAAAGTCTATAGAGTCGGAGCTCATGCTAGGATATTTTCCCTAAAGCTGAATCTCACTTTTTTTCTTATGTAACTGTTTTGTGGGTCCTGGTCATACTCTGAAAATCGAAACCCTTGCCAAAAGCAGTTGTGCTAAATTATTTTACCTTCTAATTTGCAAAGGATATCTGGGATTTCACATCTGTTTAATATTGTCCCAATTCAAGCTCCTGGTTTAGATTTCATATGGTCATTTCAAGGGTTTGGATATCTTCGTGGCCGTATGAGCGTTCTTAGCAATCAACATTGTAATCAGCTAATTGCAAACCAATGTGTGGCATGTTGGTTGAATTTCTCCATACAACGTTGTACACAGGTTTCAAATTCTAAACAAAGGCATCTTGGGCAAAATGCTTTGGGTTTTTTAGGAAGTGCAGAAATGCTGTAAAATTGTTTAATTGTGTTCTCTTTCTATAGTAAGAGAGCATCATGTCCATCGTTGCTTCCTTCTGGTTGGAGAAATAATATGAGAGGTAAGGTAAGTCCTTCCTTCCTTTTTGACTCAAATTGAGACTGAGAACATGAAGGTGGATAACTTGAGAGCAGACTTGGAAATTTCAGGGGTGGAAGCTATCACTGATATCTCGTTATTGTTTTATGAAGGAGCCAAAGTGCATCCAAAGAATTCTGTGGAGTTAATAATTCATGCTGTGGATTTTTAAGAAGTCTTGTTTCACAGAATTTTATTCCTTGTAATTCAAACAGTTTGTTAAATATAGTTTAAAAATGGAGTTTAATTCTTCCTTTATTAAAAATTTGTCAAATAAATAGATTATAAATCAAAAAATGTCTGGTCAGGACAGGTGTGTTGGTTTGGGGTTTGGGAATATGACTGCCATATACATCACTCCCCAAATAGTGCAGTCCTTATCAGAGAAGGGAATCAAAAACTGCATGACCTTCCATCTCTACTAACTCCTGGTTGTGCCCAAGAGGGAGTTATAATGAAGGGTTTGTACTACCACTACTGAATCATTCAGAATTCCCTGTTGGCCCATCCATTTTACAAACGCAGCCGTGTTCCCTGCCTTGTGATGAAAGAAACTCAATGGATAAAATAGACAACCCCAGAGTAAACTCTGACACACCTTGAGCAAAGCAGCTTAGGGCTGGGGCAGAGAAGGCAGACGCTGTGGGAGGTATGAGCATTCTATCCCAACAGCTGGTCTTAGGTCCCTTTGCAAGCCCTGGCAGAAAACAGGCTGAGGTGTTAATGCATTTTTACCTCAGGAACTGCTGCTACTCTTTTGTTTCCAGGCCACCTACTGGTAAGACAGAGAAGGAAAGGAAAAGGGAAAAGACAACAGGAAGGGGAAAGCAGAAATGAAGAGAAGAAAGATGAGGGTGGAGAGGAGAAAGGAAGGGAGAAAAGAGAAGTTTCAATGAACTGGCTGCAGGAGGCTGTGAGCAAGAGAGCCAATTAATGCCAATTGTGGCAATGCTTTCTGTGAGGAAGACAGCTGTCCAAAGACTGGATGGAAGCCACCACCTCATTTCACAGAGGCCACGGAACAGCTGCTTCAACAGCCTTCATTTGCTATTGACCTGGTCTAGATCTAAATTGATGGCCAATCCCCACCCCCAGCCGCCCAAACCTCTCTGGTGCTACAAGGCTCTCTGAATGTTATTTAGTTTCGAGAATAGTTTATTAACCTCTAGAGGCACCTAAGGTTGGTGGTGGGGAAGGCAGGAGAATAGAAAAGAACATTCTGTAAAATTACCCAAGATGAATTCCTTCAGGACAAGGAGCTCTCAAAATGAATACATTGAACTCATCTTCTTTTCCTAAAATTTGACTCAATGTCTTCATTCTCCCTAAAACTTAGACCCAGTGCAGCAGACCAAAAGAAACAAAGGAAAACGGTCAAAAAGTCATCATCTTTGGAACAGCTTTTCTTCTACTTTGTTCCACTCTATAGCTCATAGGAAACCACCAGCTGACATTAAGTTTTAAAATAAAATAGGCCATTTTTTATAAATGGTTTTACAGTTGCCTTTTAAAAAATCACTTATACATTGCCTCACTCATATACTGAGTACATGAACAGAGCATGACAAAATATATTAAGATTCATGCTGGTTCATTCAATTCCAGAGGCAATAGTAGCTTGTTCCTACTGAGAGCAAAGGATGCCACTCCTCAAGAATTGGTAGACACTAATGCACAGAGAAAATAAGCTAGGTATTCTAATCTCAGTGGAGATGGTGAAACTAATAGAATTACTGTAGCATAAAAAAATCCACATTTGATATGGGGATAAAATACCTGCAATGAGGATGACTATACAAAGGGATATGTTACCAAGGGAGGTTATGAAAATGTTATCAGTGGGCTTATTTTCAAGGGAGGGAGGGAGGCTAATAAGATAATCTCTCAAAACCTTTTTAAGCCCATAGTGCTCTTAAAAGAATAGTTTAGAATAAGTTAATATGTAACATATACATAAAACCATCCAACAGGGCTAATGGCAGAATACCGTAATCATAAATTATTGCTCTGTTTCCATTTCAATTTTGAAGACACATTTTTTTGTACAATTAAGTAAAACCTTCTGCTTTTCTAAAAGGTAGTAGACAGGAAAGCATTTGTTTGTTTTCTACAGACAAAATATAAGGCATGAAATTCAAATCTATTTTTAAAATCCAGCCTTATTTATTAGACGGACGTTTGTAGTCTTTTATAAAGACACAACCACTTAGCTAAATGATTATTTTAAAAATAGATGTGTACAAATTCCTGAGTACTCTTATTTTGTTTTCTCAGGAGAATTTTCTATCATGATTTAAACATTCAAAATCTGCTTTCCCAAAATAAAACCAATACCCTTCATGATTTTTGTATCAGTAATGAACTAAATGATACACAAATCTAAGACGCTGAACTCCTTAGCCCTAGTATCTCAATTTCTTCTTGATAAATGTTAAATAATACCAGCTTACTCAGCAAACTGGCATTCACCTCTTATCAAGAGATATCTTATTCTAAATCAGAGACAGAATCTATTTCTGGGGCCATATAAGCCCATAGGATCAGAAAAAAACCTCTGGATTGATCTTCTACCTACAAAATGGAGCTAAAGCTGTCTTCCCATACTTATCTCTTGTTGGTGGCTAATATATTCATGTTTTTAAGAAACTTAGTCTCATTCTAAAAATATTCAAAATAAAAAGCAATCCTGGCTGGTAAGTTTATTTGGACCTCTTTGTATCAGCAGATTCCCTCTAATAAAAACTTCTGGAAAAAAATAACCCTAGCAGGCCAGATCTGATTTTAGTATGAATTACCAACCTGTTCTAAATGACCTTAAGGAATCTTTGTTTACTTAGTGGAAACAGGAAAGATTACCTGTAATGGTGGTTATTAGGGATGCACAAACTGTGCCTAAAAAATAATAATAATGAACCCAAATCTTTAACCAGACTCAACCCTGAACTGAACCTGTTTGAGAGCCCTTTGGAGAGGCATGTTCCTTAACTCTATAAATTATTCACCATGTAACCACTCCTGCATCTTCCATGATTCCAGGGAGACTAGAAAGAAAATCTACATAAATATCGCTGATCCTAGAAAACAATTGATCTCCTAAGCTTTTTTGGACCAGAATGGGGTAGAAAAATGCTCAATAGCAAAGGAGGAAAACCACTGACATTTTAATGGACAATGTGTTTGTCAAACTGAAGCCTCAACAAAATCCAGTGCCTGCCAACTACTTTGTATCTTATTTAAGAGAATGTTTACTCATCTGACATAGAAATATTCCTCTCCTACCATGGGACCTCAGAACTATGGGTCTTAAAAGAGCTATCAAAGCTATTTGTTGTTTGTTTGTTTGTTTTTTTAAACAAAACGACTCTTATAGAAGGGATTAAGAGGCAATGGGGGTGGGGGAGAAAAGGGAATAGGCAGAAAAATAGAAGACAAGGATGGATTTAGATGAATGAATATAATAAGGGTTTGGGGGGGCAGTGCACATTCAATAACATTTGATTCCCTGATCATAATAGATATTGGATCTATTAGTTAATATATTAAATACTGGGAAAGCAGAGAAACACAAAGAATATAGAGATTAGTTCAATGAAAGGATGAGAAATTGGAAGTCAGTGGGTAAAATATATTTTCCTCTTCTGTGTGTAGCCCCAGTGAAAGGATATGGGACATGTGAGAAAAGAGATAGGAAAAACCCAAATCATCTGCTTACATAATAAAATAAGCTCAAATTCGCTCAAAAGATCAGCCACCAGAAGACATTTATTTAATTTGCCAATCTACTTACAACAAACATTTATTAAAACCTACAAAGAGCTTGTCATTTTGCTGGGCAATGAAAAGGATTACTGGTCTCAAACAAATTTGGAGTCCAGTAGGGAGGGACAAACTAAAGAAGGGAACTCATGGTATAGGTGCTATAATAAATAAAGTTGCAGCGTACAGTATGGCATAAAAGAAGAATTAGCCAATTCTATGTGGGATAAGAGTCAAGAAAGTGTTAATGAAGCCACACTAGATATAGTACTGCAAAATCAAATTCAGAAATGTGGTATATGATAATAAAGAACAAGTTCAAAACAATGTTTATGTATTACTCTAATAGAGACTATTGATAAAATAATCTTTATTAGAGTTATACATACATAGTATTTTTTTTTTTACCTTGGGACTAAGTTATTTAAGTATAGATAATCTTTTCTTGATAAAGTTGTTATGTTTACACAAAATGAAAAAAAGTTTGATTAAAACTTTGTTCTGACAAATTCTACCAGTAACAGCCAGGAACAGGGACCTAAATATATCTTTTCTCTCCTTGTATAATTGAAAGTTAGTATGTACAAGTTCAATCTTAATATCTGAATGTTATGGACATATCATGGAAGGTAGGAAGTTCTTCTTGATAATGCTGTTCACATCCAGTTAAAGTATAATCAGTAATGGGGATAAGAGTAATCAGGTCAATTCTAGTCTTCCATTACCACACTTGTATGATTTCAAGCCATTAATTTTTAGGTTCTCTAGGTACGTCACAAAGGCAAGCTCATAAAGCGTACTGAGATTCCAAATTAATGATGATCTAATATGGTAGCCTTTGGAACCTTTATGCTGCTACAGAGGAAAAATAAGTTGAGTTACCCAGAATCCAAATTTTCATTCTTCCAGTTCTCTTTAGTCTATAGCTTAGGGTATCCCTCTTGGTTCTTTGTGATTTTTATTACTTTTGTCTTCTCATGACAAATCACCCGGATAGTGTATAGGATGCAGGGTCAGAAACATTGAATATGTTTACTAGTTGGAAAATTTTGTTAAGCTCCTGCAAGAAAGATGTGGTTATCAAGATTTTATGGAAATAGGAAATATTTATGAAATATAGAGCCTGCAGTATACATGCAAAAATGAACATTCTTATTTCCATATTTGGAGTATCAACTCCTGCTGGGAAATAGTTAAATCCTGGGATTTTAGAAAAACTTATTATGGAAAAATTCAAACATATGCAAAAGTAGGGTGATGAGAATAAGGAATCCCGTGTATCCATCAACCAGCTTCAACAGATATAAACTCAGGATCAATCTTGTTTGATCTCTATCACCCTCACCTACTTCCCTGCTTTCCATGTAATTTTGAGGGAACTTCAGGTCAGGTTTATTGATTTTCCCAAAATATCTGTTATGTCTCTTTGCCTACAGAAAGTATCATATAAATTAGCTAGCTAATTGATTTATTTTCTTATATCTACCTTTTTACTCACTGTGACATTTATGTCAAGCCGCTAAGAAAGAA